GATTTTTGCTGATTCTGATGGAAAAAAATGGAGAAATTCTGGGATTTTCTTCTTTGATACAGCACTGAAAAAAAAATGTGGGTATGTCTCATGGTTCAAGGCTGGTATTTTTTATTGTACTATAGTAACCAAGACTATAGTATTAATAAAGTAATTAATCTTTTCATATTGTTGTTTCTGATGTCATACACGTGACAGACCAAACAATGTAATTACTTTATCAAAATGATGGGTATTAATTGGACTATCTTTATAGTAGATTAATTGGATTGAAAAGCTGGATGACAAAGTTCACTGAATTCATTCTGAAGTATAAAATGTACACTATGTCAGATTGCGACACAGACAGGGATTTTTTTTTTTCAGTCTACCATACAGCTCCAGTCCTTTAGCAATACTGTATAAAATCAATTTTGTTTCTACTCTGCCTAGAGGTTTTACACTATATTTGGCTGTCTTTTAACTACAAGGGAGTGCCAACTACACAATTCTAAAATGGAGGATGTAGAAGAAATTATTACACTTATTAATTCAGCCATGTTTATCTTTACTTTTACCCTTTCCTAGTTTTATACATTTGCTGTTAAACATGTAAACTTGTAAGTTAGCATTCTTTCTAATAAGCACCTACACTGAATGAAAACCAAGATTGTTAGAAAACTGCACGCAACGACAGAGCTGGGATTCAGACTTGCTAGCATTCAGTCGTATACCAGCACATCTTAATTCTCTGGATGCTGTTGTTTTCCAGGTTGACAGTTTGTTTACAAGAATTTGTAGAGAAAAGTCCTCTGAGAAACACTGCAGAAGAAGAAAGGCTCAAAGTCACATCCCGGTCTTCTGGAAAACATCCTTCTGGAATGCATTAAGGAAGGTGTGTTAGTACCCTTGTTGTGGCGAGACCTTCTGCATCCCTCCTCTGATAAGCCTGCTGTGGGTGCAGCAGTTGTAAATTCCTTCACACAAATGATGCCATCATCTGATTACAGCATGAGGAAAGGTACAGTGCACAGAGGCTCCCTAAAATGAACCTTTGGGAATGAAGGAAATGTTCAGTACTGGCCAAAGAGCAAAAGCCATCAAAAACAGAAAAAGCCAGCCTTTCAGAGCAGGCGTGCAGGCCTCTGCCACTGGCAAAGCCCCCTATCCCCACAGCTTTCTGTGCCACCAGAGCCTGTAGCAGAGTCACTACTCCCTCTCCATAGCACAGCCCTGCACACCAGTCACGCTACCCTGAGCCAAACCAAGCATGGCTATGTTAAGACGATATGCCATTCACCTAGGAAAAGGAAAATAATAGGCAGTGTCCTATGATTATGAGTAACAATTACTCTGCAGATATGCTGTTATCCCAAAATTGCAGTTTCCAAGTGACAAAGCAGTAAGATAATCCCTAAATCTCCTCCAGTAGCCTCACTCTCAGTTTTCCTTCCATTTATGTGAATATGCTGTAGGTATTTTTCATGTCCATTCATCTGCCAAATATTTTCAGAATACAGATGTAATTTCTAGCTGAGGAAGTCACGATAAAATAATGAAGCTAGACAGCCAGTGTATACTAAAAGAAAAAAAAAGTTATGTTGCTGCTTTATCTTTTATTACAGTCATTTCTGTATTACAGAAAAAATTGTAATTCCCTCAATAAATAATGCCATATCATAAAGATGATGTCATAAACTAAATAATCTATGAAAAGGACAATTGCCTCCTAGAAACTGTACTAATTGTAATTGTACAGCCAATATTCCTGAAGAGTTTGGAAGTGTCTTAATGCAGGCAACTGTTCTGATGTGTCCTGTGTTGTGTGAAACTCAGCAAGGCTTCTCAGAGCGACCTCACATTGGAACACATGCGAAGAAGCACTAGAAGGGGTTGAAGGCAGTGAAGGGTCTGCTTTATGAAAGGAGATTAGACCTTGTTTAGTCCAACACACAGGAGGATTCTCTAGAAATATAGCAGATGGCTGAATACTATAATGAGCAGCATTATATGATCTGAGAACAAACTGGCGCAGACTAAACCTGAACACATTTAGGCTTGAATCTGTAAGAAGGTTCTCAAGCATCAGATGGCTGACTGGTGAGTATAGCCACGCAGCAGCATGGAAAGCCACCCAGGTTCTAGCAGCTGAGGATGATCCATTACAGAAACATATATGACATGGTGTAGCCTGAAGCAGCAATAAGCCAGACATGATGACTCAGCAGGTACCTTTCCATCTCACCTTCCTGGGGTTCACGATAAAATTGAAATGTAAGGTGACAGTGCTCATTTGGTCTTCTTCATTTGCAAACTTTTGCCAGGGCCCTTTTTATCTGTTACTTCTAAAAACACTGCCACTCTCCACCCCACCCATAGGTAATTTGGAAGCCTCTTCTCTGCAGTCAGCTAGGCACGTATACATCTTGTTGCTTCCTCCGTATCTCCATATCCACCCCATTTTAGCTAAATGTGCTGCATACTTCCCTTGGACACCTTCTGTCACGTATCTGAGATACTGCCATGTCTCTAGTTCTGGTGTTCCTGATTGCTGGGACACTTGCTAACAATCTAAACACTTTGCTCATGTGGCCTATCAAACTACCCTGCCAATAACACCCTTCCAGTGCCAGCCACAAAGTTAACACTCCTTGTTTCTCTTTTTAAAGACCCACTAATATCCTCTTCGTATATGTACTGTTCCATAGCAATTGCTGCTCTCCCAGAGCCCCGAGTGGACAACTTCTTAGCTCAACAGCACGCTTCTAGAAATGCGCATTTTCATTTCAGATCTCAGAAACATAGAGGAAACTAAATGGTTGGCAAGGAAATGAGAGAGGTGAGAGGGTAGTAACTGCCTATATTTGCCAGATCGTGACTCCTGTCATATCTTCGGTCTTAAATGGACATGACAGGAATGGACAGTAAGCAGCACAGACTGTTCTAGCCATCCCTCTGCTGTAAGACAAATGATTCTGACTGCAATAAATTGAGATAAGCAGCTGAAAAAGCAATTCAGTGGAAGCCAAAGACAGACTGATAGTGACTTGCAGAAACCCCATTCTTCTGAAACTAATGAACACACTAAAGTGTTGAGAAACCAGACAGATGACCTGGAAAATTGGTTCAGATTAAGCAAGGCCAAGTTGTCCGTGGTTCCAAAAGCATTCAGAGAACAAGAAAGGCCTGTTTTGCAAGATATTGTGAAAATATTTAGGGTTAGATCATTCATAATCCATGGAAACTGTCACCATGTGCTACATGGAATCTTTGGAGGCATGTGTAAACATTACAGGCAGGCTAGTAAGTATGCTCACAAATCTGCTGTGATTATTCTTGTAAAAGAATAGGTAGATTTTCAAAGAGCCCAACTGTCACTTGAGTATTAGCTGATTCCTGGGTCTGTAAATCATCTTTGGATCTAAAGAATATTTTATGATTTTCCCTTAAATAGTTCTGAGAAATTGGAAACAACGTTCTGGTGTTTTCATGAGGCTTGTTAGTCTAATGAATGTTAGTCTCAGAAATGTTTCACCAACTTCGATATCTCTTCTAGCTTCGGGAATTTATAAAAGTGTGAACTGACCTGAGGTTCATTCCTTCCAAAGGTCTTTTTTTCTTTTTTTATAGATAAAGGTTTGCAAAGTATTCTTGATCTCTGTGCTCAGCTTTTAGTCATACTGGTGTGATCTGTGCATATGAAGTAAAATCCAAGGTTTGTGTTAAAATAGAACACATATTACATGGAGAACAGGGAAATCCTTTATGTCAGAGGAGCAAATAAAAGTTGGTTTCCCTTTGTTGAAAAACCGCCTTAGAATTGTTAGCATACGGAAGTGTGCTTAACTTCAGTTATCTTTCTTTTCATTTGTTATGCGGTTTTCTGATTGCTGGGCATTTTTGAGCCTCAGCAGGATATGAGACTCTCAAAAGACAATGTTGGCCATCTGCATTGCACTTTTTGTCTATAGAAACAACCAGAGACTCTTTTACAATTGCAGTGTTACACAGCTTTCTGAACCAAATCTGGCCTGCATCAAATTGTCTGGAGCATGATAGAAAAGAACAGGCAGAGTACCACAATGGCTTGGGAAGACCGAAAAAGTCATAGGGAATACATGAAAAATCCAAATTGCAGTAGGAACATCAGAGTCTTCTGTTATGTTTCGAGGTGACTACATTCAATTCAGGCTGTCTCGTCTGCGTTTAGCATACATTTCAAGTAATTAAAACATTACATTTCAGAACTCATGAACAAGATCAGATGTTTGCTGTTCAACTGCCCTTGTCAGAAACTTAGAGGGTAATAATTTACTTGCTTTACTATATTCCCTTCATTTTTTCCCTGCTAGGAAGAAAACAGCTCTGGTTTGCTAATATATTTCCCAGAACAACCAATTGTCTTCACTCTGTGTAATGATCACATTGCCTTGTGTAAGCGAACTGGCCCAGAAGAAAGCGGCTTAATCTAAACTGCTAGATTACTTCTTTGTAAAAGTATGAGGAAAAGGAACTGAAGAATATTGAATCCTTGCTGTGAAGCTTGCACAGCAAGCTTTTCATTTTTAAACCATGGCTGCCAGAAATCCGAACACCTTATTGCGAAAACCTGGACAATCTTATAGGGCTCTCTGTTTCAGCGTTTCCAGGCTACCTTTGCAAGCGAGCCTGCCTGGCCTCAGCACCACAATGCGCTCCCTGGCTTGTGCGTGGTCTCTCTTGTGGCAAGAAGCCATCAATTGCGGGGGATGTTGTTAACTGCCCTGCTGCTCCTTCGGCCTGTGAAACATCCATTCTCGCAGGAACACACTGGTGGGCTTCCAGTAAGGCTACCATGTGTGGACACTGCACTGACAGGTGCTCGTGCCTTTAAAAGCAGCTGTCCAACCTCCTGGTATCTGATTAGAGAGGGTACCTAGCCCTCCTAGCTACAGCTGGCAGCTCTTGAATACACCTGATCATTTGTTTCCTTCTAAATCAGACACTCACATAGTAATCATATTATTATACTGAGATATTACTACTCAGTATTCTAAGATAATACAGCTATTCTTGTTAAAATCACAAAGAATGAAGTTTTGACAGATGGACTATTGGAATGACTGGAGTGACCCTGAAAAGAAACTACAGCTCTATGATTCAAAGTTTCTGCAATGCTTGTGCTACAGATAAGAACTATGTATAATGTAACCACTACATCAAGAGAGTAGGCAGAAAGGGAGCCGAGATGCTTGTGACTATCTTCCAGAGAGGGAATGGGACAAGTTGGGTGTCTGATCTTACAATGAGGCTAAGAAAACTTCCTGATTTCCAAGGTGCAAAAGCAGGTGCTCAGGCATGCTGGAGATGCCAGAGAGGTGGGATGCTCGCTCCCCACCTTCCTCTCCCTGTCAGGGCTCCAGCAGCCCTGTGCTTCATCAGCTCCTGCTGTCTGAACACCTTGGACAGCTCCCGGCTCCTGCCTCAGCCTCTTCCAACTTCCTTTCCTGATTCTCCGAGCATTGCTCCATGCCTCCTGTCACAGGGCGATCTACCACAAGAAAGCCCTGCTTTTAAGATCCTAAGCCTGAGGGCTGATATATATGAATATTCATGAAGAGAGGAAGAAAGAGGAAGAAGGGAGAAAGCGCAGCATGTAAGAGTGTTTTCACCTGATCTACACAGAAATAACTTTAAACCCCTTCTACAGACATTCTGTACTGAAGAAGGAAAACCTGCTCATTGCCATCTTTCCTGATGGATGGTTATTTCCATTTAAATATCATAACTCACAACTTTCTGATGAATATGGCACTAGACACTGCCATATACTGGAATATGTGGTATTAGGCTAGGTCCCACAGCTTACTGAATGAATAATCATTTACTTTTCTCTACAGCCTTCTATCTTGATCACTGCTTTGATGGCCTTGCAGCAGTGATCCCTGACAGAAAATGTGCGGGTAAAAGGGAGAAGCCAGGAATCTTACAAAGCGTGAATGAGCTCTCCCTTCCCAGCTGTGCTTTGTACCAGCTCTGGTAGACAGCTGCTTCAAGGTGAGTACATTTCCAGGATATTTTGGGTTTCTGTTGACTTCTATATGAAAGGCAGCGGATTCACTTTAAGTAAGATGACTTAAATTGCTTTGTTTAGATCGATTGCTTTGGACTCAGGAAGGCCAGCAGAGGAGAGGGATGCAAGACATCCCTTCTTTTGCAACCCAAACTCCTGACCTGGGGCTAACTCCCCACCTCCCTTTGCCTCCTATAGGCGACCCAGGCAAGTCCAGGGAAGAAGTCACCTGATCATTCACTGCTTCCTTGCAGTGCAAAGGAAACACAACCGAGCAGCAATCCTGCACTACTGTAGCATCACTGCTGTGCTCTTGGCATACCACAGCAACAGGAGGCCACTGCTCAGGTTAACTTGGGAAGACGTAGCCACCCCTGTCCATATGTTTTCCAGACAGTTCATTGATATTTCCTGCCCCTTTGCCTCCCTCTGACAGCTTACAGCACAAAGGTCATTTGGCATACGGTTGGAGTAAAGCTTTTCAGACAGTTCTGGTGACTTTCAGGACAAAGTATCATACCTCCTATTTCTTCAAATGCCTTAAGAGCTATGGGACAACAAACTTCTGAGGCCCAGAATTCAGGCAAATCTCACCCAGAGATGAGACTAACAAGTCTCAGAATTAGCCCTAAATCTGAGAGTCTGCAATTTTCACACTCCAAATATGAGTTCATAGATCTCTCTTAATTGGAACCTATGTTAGGCAAGTCAAGAAAGTAACTGAGTGTCAAATATTTTTCCAAGCGTTATTTTCTTTGAATAATTCAGCCATATCTGATTTGATGTTGCTAAGATATATTTAAAACAGATTTTTTTCCTCAGACTCTTTTGAAAGAAACCCCAATGCTTTGGATATATGAGTGACAAAGAGCAAAGCTCCCAATAAGAAAAGTCTTTGGAAGGGAAAAGTGCTCCAAGTCTGGAGAGGTTTCAGTTTCTGACACAGGTGCAACCAGTAACCACCAAAAATTTTCAGCAGAGTCAGGATATTAGTAAAGATAAGCATACTGCTTCAAAAGGCTGAACATGGCTCTGATAATGATGCGCTCTGAGGGGCTTTAGGTCAAGGCTGAATTTACTTTGCATCATGATGAAGGAAAATGTAGCAGGGAAAAAAATAATCATTTCATCCTCTTACATTTCTGAACAAAAGTCTACTACAGATAAACATGATTCCATTCAATAGGGTCTGGTAATCCACTTTACAGCAAAGTGGAATAGCCTTCACAATATATTTCACTAACTTTCTGCCTTAATTAGTACCATTCACACATACTCTTCTGAAAAGTCCTAATGTATATCTGCCTTCAAAAGGATGATACTCTCTTCTGCTTGCAAGTGTCACATTATTAATTATCTTAGTTTGAGGGAATAAACCAGAAAGTCGTCACCTAGGGTGCACTAAGAAAAAAGAACTATGTAAGTTTAATTACAAAGGGTTTAAGCACAGCTGGTCTGTTGCAAACATTCCTCAGGCTATAAAAAGGAGATGACATTTAACGGTGACAGGCACCATAACTACAGCCATTTTTACAAGGATTTCTTTGTTCTAGTATAAGTTCTTTCACCTCCCGAAAATATTGAAAATGTGACAGACACACAGCTTGTTGCAAAAAGGAATTTGCTACAAAATGCAGGGAATCTGTCTAAGGACTTACTCTGCCATTTCACGGAGCATCATGGAGCGCTGTTAATGCTAGTGTATCAGGGAGAGAGGCTAAAAACACAGGAGATGCTTGGGTGCCAGGACATGGGCAGCTAGGTCTCAGCATTTTGACAAATTTGCCAGGCTCAGTGCGACTTGAGGAAACCTCATTTCAGAACTACCAGCCTGCAGGATCACGTCACACACTGCAGTTCTTCCTGCATATGCTTGAAGGCAATGAGAAGTAAGTAGGCTTTATCCATCTCAGCCACTGGGAAATAAGTCAACAGCTCATAAAAGTGCACCCAAAGGCAACACTTGGAAAAGTCGCTGTGCAGATGTGCACGTCCACATATATCCCAGAGGACCAGATTTCCAGACGAGGCTGGCATTTAGCACCTCCAGCTGCTACAGGAGATTTTCAACGAAAGCCCTTGGCACCTGTGATTTGTAATCACAAAAGAATCTCTCCCCTTATTGAAGGGGTGAAGCTCCTTCAGGTGCTGAGTGCCCGGCAGGCAGCACACGCTTGTGCAGAGCACACCCGCGGACCCCTCCGATCGCAGCTGATAACCAGTTGTGGGGAGCCCCCACAGCAGGAGCCGTACTCAGTGGAACAGACATGCACAGAAATGGCTACAACCCACCCAAAAAGCATCAGGACGGGTAAATTGCTGCGAAAGAAGAGCGCCAAGCAGCAAAGGCTGCTGGTGGCCTGGTTCGAGTGCATACCCAACGGAGGTATCTCCCCGCCAAGGATGCTCTCCCCGCA